CATACCGAAAAATATGCAAATCAGAAGTGTACAGCTAGATACAATTTAACAGAATTAACAAAGCCATCTAATCAATACCCAGATGAAGAAACAAAACTTCATAAGCACCCCAGAACCCTCTTCAGACCCCCTCCAGTCACTACTTTCTACAAGGTAACCACACTCCTGACTTCTAACCCCAAAATTAGTTTGACCTGTTTTTAAACATTATATATGTGGAATTATGCAGTATGAACTCTTTTGCCTTTAGCTTTTTACACTCAATATTTGCAAAACACCCACATTGCTGGGTATAGTTGTAGTTTGTTCATTTTTGCTGCTTTCTACTATTCCATCGTATGAATGAAGAGATTGTATGTACCACACTTTATCTATTCGACTGATGGATATTTAGGTTGTTTCAGTTTTTTTTTTTCTGCGGTACGCGGGCCTCTCACTGCTGTGGCCTCTCCCGTCGCGGAGCACAGGCTCCGGACGCGCAGGCTCAGCGGTCGTGGCACACGGGCCCAGCCGCTCCGCGGCACGTGGGATCTTCCCGGACTGGGGCACGAACCCGTGTCCCCTGCATCGGCAGGCGGACTCTCAACCACTGCGCCACCAGGGAAGCCCAGGTTGTTTCAGTTTTTAACTGTTTCAGATAGGGCTGCGTTGAACTTTTGTACATGTCTTTTAGTGAACTTATGTGTATGTGTCTGTTGGGGGCACACCCAGGAAGAGAAGAGCTGGGTCTAGGGTTCACGGATATTCAGCTTTATTAGATATTACCAAAGAGTCTCCAAAGCGGTAGTAACAACCACTGGTAGTCTACTGGTAGACACTCACCAGCAGGGTATGAGGGTTCCAGTTACTCCACATCTTTGTCAACACTTGGTGTTATCTGTCATTTTCATTTTAGCCGTTCTGGTAGGTGTCTACAGGTACTGCATTTTGGTTTTCATTTACAATTTCCTGATGACTAATGAAGTTGGGCACCTTTTCACATATTTGTTGGCCATTTGTGTATCCTCTTTGTCAAGTGTTTATTCTTAGCTGCTTGATCTATCAGTTTCTGAGAGAGGTATATTAAAATCTTGCACGAAATTTGTGGGCTTTTCTGTTTATTGCGGTGATTCGCTTTTGGCTTTATATGCTTTGAGGCTTTGTTTTAGGTTCATGTGTTTTGAGTTGTATTTTTTTGTTAAATTATTCCTTGTGTGACTGTCGTTATTCATATTTTTCAAAGCTTGATAATGATATTGCTTTACCAGACTGTATTTTGTTTTGTTTTGTTTGTTTTTTTCTCTTTTTTTTGGTAATTGTGGTAAAAAACACATATATAAAATTTACTACCTTAACCATTTTTGAGTGTTCAGCAGTGTTAAGTATATTCACATCGTTGTGTAACAGATCTCTAGAACTTTTTCATCTTGCACAACTGAAACTCTGTATCCATTGAACAATTCCCCTTTTCCCCTCTTTTTGTTTTCGTAGTATTTGCTTTGTATGTGTTTTTCACTCTCTTTATTTTCAGCCTCTCTCTCATTATGCTTTCTGCACAGCTTTTATAAAGAGCTGTTCGAAAAAAAATCTAATAAAAGAATCTCTTGTAATAGTCAAGTGTAATCTGCTTACACTTACTATGATTGCTGTTATATTTGGGCTGACTTTTACAGTCTTATTCTGTATCTTCCTTTGTTTCTTTCCACTCCTGCCTTCTGCTTCCTTCCTTTATTTTTCTCACTCTACTAGTATGGAAGTTATTCATCCTATTTGTGGTATCTGGTGTTTAACATGCATATTTAGCTTAACAAAGCCTATAGGTAAAATCATTAACTCTCACCTCTTCAGAGCGAAATAATAACTATGGAATGATTTAACTTTGAGCTGTCCTTCCTCACCTTCCACTTGTCGACAAATCTTTTAGTTCTTCCTTGTTTTTAACTCATCAAGAAGTTAGTCCTTATCATTAAAGAAGTCTTTACTGTCAGTATTTACTACTATTTTTCTCACCATTCCTCCTTACATCTCACACCTTCTTTCTTAGTTCATTTTCCTTCTTGGTGAATTATATCTATGAGGGGTGAACTCCATTCCAGTCTTTGTATGTCTGAAAACCTCTGTTTTACACTCACTCCATTGGGAACCTTGCATGCTGACCTCCCTCCAGAGAGGTTTCCATTTGTCTCTGCTGGGATCCTATGGGCTTCTCACTGTTCGTGTAGTTTTCATGTTACTCTTACTACTTGGGATTCCCACACCTCAGTGGTAGTGTGATCTGAACCCCTCTCCCGCATGTGATGAAGGATTGGGATGCAGATTTCTCTTGGGTTGTTCTTTTTTCACCCATGGGCTCAGGTACTTGGCCCACTTTCTTCCAGCCACGTCAGCATCAAATTTTTTAGTCCCTGTTTCAAAGACAGCTGAGCCCTTACAGAGCCCATTTTTATACCTTGTTCTCAGTTCTAGTTCTCTGTATCATGGGTCTGAGGCCTCACCTGTCAAGGACAGGACCACTCCTAAGGTTTGCACCTGGTTCCAGGACCCCTGCAGGTCTTTGGGCTCAGCTCCTGCTTACTATCCAGGCTTTGAGTTACATTTTTGTTTATAGTACTTAAGGATTTCCCTTTATTGCTTTCAAGCTGTGCTGTGTATTAAATTCTTTTCATTCTATTTTATTAAGCCTTTCTATGTGTTTGCTGTTGTGTGGGGTAATTCCCGTGTCAGCTCTGTCCAGCGTATTGACCAGAAGGCACAGTCATCTTTCTCTAAAATTAGATACGATCCCATCACTCCTTCATTGGACTTTTGTGAGCTTGTTAGCACTGCTTCAAGTATTCATCCAACAAATACCTATTACTTACAACCTCTGTAGAAAAGAACCGGCGAGACTGTAGTGAGCAAGATACAAAGTCTCTGCCCTCCTGGAGTTTACTATTCTAGCTGGAGAGACAGAAAGTAAACCTGTGAACAATAAATCAGAATGTGAACTACAGTTTGTGAAGTGCACTCTGAAGGAACTAGAGTCAATGTGGGTTTCTTTAGCTAGGATGGTCAGGGAAGACCACTCTGAGGACGCTGTGTTCAAAGCTGGGTCAGAAGGATGGGGAGAGGCCAGCCCTGCAAATGGTAGACGGCTTCTTTGGGGCCAGGGGTTCATTCCAGGCAGCGGAAACAGCAGGCACAAGGACCCAGAGATGGGAAAACCCTTGGCATATTGAGTTACTGAGGACACCCGACACCCCTGTGTCTCATGAGGGGAGAATGGGCAAGGGGGCCATGCCCATCTGCTGCCAGGCCTCTCTGCCCACCTCTCCCTTACTCTGTCCTCTGGCCATGGTTCTCTCCCAAATGGGCCCATGCAGAGTCACCTCCTTTGTAAAGCCCTTCTCACATCTCAATTCCCATTGCACTTTGTTTTTCCTACTGATCAGAATGGAAAGTTGTCTGCAGAACAGTGTTCTCCAATAGGTCTTAAGCTTCTGTCAGAAGAAATGTCTTGTTTACCTTGTGATCCCCATCTTGTAGCAATGCTCTACAAGGTAGGTGCAAAATAAATGTTGACTGGGACTTCCCTGGCAGTCCAGTGGTTAACACCCCACGCTTCCAATGCAGGGGGCGCGGGTTCGATCCCTGGTTGGGGAACTAAGATCCCACATGCCTCTCCATGTGGCCAAAGAAATAAACTAACTAAATAAATAAATGTTGAGTGAATATATGTGGGGTTTTGTTGGTTAGCAGTTCATGCTTAGGACTTACTTTCCAATATCTTTATAACAGAAAATCTCATAGGTAATCATTTTTGTGGTATTTAAGCCATTAGGGTAAAGAAAACCATCAGCCTGAGGAGGAAATTGTTTGCTTAAGGCTTTGCCTCTGATACTGAAAGGGAAAATCAGGGGAGGTACTATATGGTGTTACCCTGGAGTGGGTTGAATGGTGGCCCCAAGAAAGATATGTCCACATCTTAACCCCTGGAACCTGTGAATGTGACAGGTTTATTTGGAAAATGGGTCTTTGCAGATGCAATTAAGTTAAGGATCTTGAGATGAGATCATGATGGATCATTTGGGTGGAACAAAATCCAATGACAACTGTCCCCATAAGAGATGGGACAGGAAAAAGACAGAGACACAGGGGAGGCCATGTGAAGACTGAGGCAGAGATTGCAGTGATGCAGCCACAAGCCAAGGAACACCTGGGGCCGCCAGGAGCTGGAAGAGGCAGGAAGAATTCTCTCTTAGAGCCTTTGGAAAAAAGTGTGACCTGGCTGACACATTAATTTCAGAATTCTGGCCTCCAGAACTGTGAGAGTATAACTGTCTGTTGTTGTAAGCCACCGGGTTTGTTAATACTATCCCATCACATTATACCTCAGTTACGTCTTCTGTAACGTGGATATAATACCTACCTCAGAAGCTTATTGCCATGATTGAATGAGCTATATTTGTAAGGTACTTAGCACAAGTGAATGTTCAGAAACAGTGATGGCTCTTCTCCAAGGATTAGGAGTTTCTGTCTTGTGATTGCCTGCTGAGTCACAGCTCACACCGCAGACCTAACCCGAGAGCTACGACTTCTCGTGGGCCCTGGAGCTCTCAGGTCCTGGTACATTTTACAGCCCTCTGTTAGGGTTTTGTATCAAGGGAGAATCCAGCTTGTGGGTTGTGGGAAGACAAACTCAGATTCCGAATTTGAAATGACCCACATGGAGCAGAAAGCAGCTTCTCAGTCCTCACCAAAAAGAAAGGTTTGGGTTCTAAATTCTTAATTCCTATTAAGGGACTCGACATTCCCAAAGACCTGTATTGACGAATCCTCCTACCACAGCAATCATCAAAAATTCCCCAGAATGAATTGGGACTTTGTGTGTTTGACCGCCCACCAGGAAACCCAGGAGCGCACAGAAGCACCAGGAAACCCAGGAGCGCACAGAAGCCTGGCGGTACCCACAGCACCAGGGACAGACAGCTCATTGGGCCGGGGGGGTCCAGGCCTGCAGCTCTCAGCTGCGCCCCCCCCGCATGGCTGGCACCGTGCTGGGCGTGGGGGCTGGCGTGTTCATCCTCGCCCTGCTCTGGGTGTCAGTGCTGCTGCTGTGTCTGCTGCTGTCCAGAGCCTCAGGTATAGCTAGGTAAGGCCTTCTCTCCAGCCAGGAGTCCCAGGTAAAAGCAATTAGAAGTGCAATCTCTGACGCTCATGAAACGTTTAGAATTCAGACGCTCATTGTTGTAATTCCTGGCAGTTTGAGTGAGTCGCATTTTCCCCTCATCGTAAGCACTAACTGCGTTATTTGTGCTTGGAAGCGGAGGTGGAGAAGAAGGGGTGTCAGCTCCCAGTGCTGAGGAGACGGGGACACGGGATGGGAAGAGAATCCGCTTGCGGTGCCTGTTGAGTTTCTTGGGGTTGTATGTGTGCGTGTTCCTTAATTGTTGAGATTTACAGCAGGCACTGGGTCCAGCCCCTAAGGCTCCAGACCTGGGCCCTGGGACGCTGAAGAGTCGTAGGTGACTTGGGCTGGCATTGACTTAAGAAAGAATCAGGCCACAAACTGACTCTAAGGTCACCGTGGAGTCACACTCCCTGGCCAGACAGTGTAGGTACAAATCAGCAAGTTACATCATTTACTAAAGTTTTCTGGTTTAAAACACAGCACTGGGGGGGAGGAGCTGCTTCGCTTTTTCCTGATCATGACTGCACAGAGGCAAAGATAAAAGCTACCAATTCCCATTCTTAGGAATTTGGAGTTCCCAGGAATAAACAGGAATGCATCCCGCTGGTACCTGTCTGGGAAGAAGGGTTTTGGGATGAAGGGGAAAACATTTCTAAATTCCCTGGGCGGTGTGGGCAGCACACTGGGCCCTGTTAATGGACTGAAACACGATATCCGCCCAGGGAAGAGCCAGTCCCGGCCTAGCTGAATGGAGAGGAGACTGAACAGTGCTTTTAACCCTCTGTCTTTCACTCCCAGGTTCTCCGTCATTTTCGTGTTCCTCGGTGCTCTGATTATCACGGCAGTTCTGTTGCTCTTCCCCCGAGCCAGTGAATTCCCAGCCCCCGAGGCTGAGATGAAGGTAAAACCATGGGTTTTGTTTTGCATCCTGAGTTGTGTCTCTTCTTTCTCTTGCTTTGGACCGCCATCCTGCCCCACGTGGTCCCTGATGCCAGGAGGGCCGAAGTGTGTTAGAAAAATTATAAAGTTGAAACCAGGATGGGGGGAGCTCAGAGGGAGTTTTAACCCCCTCCCCCCTCCCCCAGGAAGAGACAGTTCTTCCGATGCCCCCTTGCGACACCCCCGGGCAGCTATTTGCCTAATCTGTTCTCGTCTCCAGTTTGCATCAAGTGGAACGAGCCATGAGCCCAGAAGCCACCTCGTGGTGTGAGGGCCAGAGCCAAGCAGACAGGCGGGAAGAGCCTGTCCTGAGTAAGAGGCTCCCACTCCGGCTGGCCTTGGCTCAGAAACTCGCATCCCGGGCGCACTTAGGCAGTGCTCTCCGGTGCTGAACGACATGCTTTTTCACCTCCGTGTGTTTGCGTCTTTCCACTTGTGGCATGGAGCGAGCACTGTCCATAGAGAAGAGCAGTGAGGAAGGAGGGGCGCTTCTCTGGAAAGCGGAAGTTGTAGAGGTTGGTGCGTTTAATACTAACAGCCTTTGGGGAGGCCCCTCTGGTCCTCGTTTCTAGAACCACATCTCCCAGCACCTACCTGTCTACGTGGATTTTTATCATCTCTCCTAGACCCCACCCACTCTGGTTCATTCCTGACTGGGGCTCTGGCTTTGCCATACAGAGCTGGTCTCAGGTCCCCACGATCTTGATCACAGTATTGACTTCCTGTGTCCCATTACTTTTTCGAGCAGCTTCTTTCCTGTTTTAATTTTTAAGCTGTCACGGTGATAACAGCTAACGTTTTTTTAAGGCATCACTGTGTGCCAGGTCCTGTGCTAAGCCTGTTATTTACAAGCTCTCATTTAAACCTCAGGACAACCCTAAGGGGTATGACACATGTGCTGTTAGTGTCCCCAGTTCATAGGTAAGGATGCCGAGGCTGGAAGGGGTTAGGGTAACTTGCCCAAGGTCATACATGTATAGGAAGAGGCAGAGCAAGGATTCAAGCTGAGGTCTGTCTTCAAAACCTTCATTGTTGGGGACTCCACAGAATATTGGGGGCCTTCACAGCAAGTGCAGAGGCAACTGTTTTGACACTAGACACTAGACTACACAAAATGATATAACTCCTGAACTAAAATCGGCACACATTTCCAGTTCTATCTAGGACTGACCATGGCAAAGGGAGGAAATTCGTTTTGAAAATTCCAAGGGAAATAATACTTACCACACAAAACTGAGGAATTATTTTCATACATGCCAGGTTTTTTTTGGTCACCATTTGGAAACCACTCTGACTGTGTGTGAGCTGGGGCGCAGACTCCCACCCTGGTTTTCCTGTCTAAAATGGGGAGAGCAATGAAGGCTGCGTATTTCTGGATTGCTGCGGATGTGAACACTGGAAGAAGGGCACAGAGCAAACACTGTTTTGAAATCAATCCCTCTTTCCTCTGTCATATGAGTTTCAGACCCAGGAGAGCAGAATGGGCTTTGAGCAAAATATGTTCGTCAGCATGGCCAGCAGGATCTCATTTTCAGGTTTTGAGCACCAGCCCCTTCAGCAGCTTGGCTCAATACCGTATCAATAATACATGGCCTGGGCCTTCCTCACCCCAGGCCTGCTAATTGGCTAATTAAAAAGTGAACCCTGTCGAACCAGCAAACATGCAGCTCGTGAGAGACTTGTTCAGTCCTGGAGCCAAGGTCAAAGTTATGTTAAAGCTGTTTCATCAAGCTGACCTTTGTTGTAAGTTGGCTGTCAGGGTAATCTCTGGAGCAGCCCTTTCCTTCTTGGTGTCTTTGGAACTCAGTGATCACAGCAGAGCTCGGACTTGACAGGTGCTTTGTGTATGGCCACTGTATTAGTTACCTACTGCTGCTGTAACAAATTACCACGAAATTAGTGGCTTACAACACAAATTTACTATCTTATATAGTTCCGTCGATTAGAAGCCGCAAATCAGCCTCACTGGGCTAAAACCAAGGGGTTGGCAGGGCTGTCTTCCTTTCTGGAGGTCCTGCGGAAGAATGTTTCCTTGCCCTTTCCTGCTTCCGGAGGCCACCCTCAGCTTGCAGTCCCCTTGCTCCATCTTCAGAGCCAGCAAAGTAACGTCTCTCTGACTCTGCCTCCGTCCTCACATCTTTCTCTCTGACCCTCTCTCCTGCATCCCTCTGCCACTTCTAAGGACCCTTGTGATTACATTGGGCCACCTGTATTGGACAGTTCAGGCCAATCTCCCTATTTTAAGGTCAGCTGGTTAGCAACCTTAATTCCATCTACAACCTTAATTCTCCTTTGTCATGTAATTTAACATATTCAGACTCTCTGGAGATGAGGATGTGGACATTTTAGGGCCATTATTCTGTCAACCACAGTCGCCCTTCAGGTACTGGGTTCTGAAAGCTTCCGGAAGCTGTGACGTCCCCACAGTCACTGGGTTTGTGCTGCTTCTCCCTTAAGTCTGTAGATTGAACTGCTTTTTCCTGCCCGGACTTAAGCAGCGCCATTTGGGTCTGTGGAAAACAGAGCTCTGGCTGTGGACAGTAGACAAGCAGGTAGGGCCAATCATAGGTTTATGTCAGCAAAGACCAACACTTCCGGGGCCTCAAGTACAACTGGTTGCCAAGCAGCCAACTGTACGAACGGGGCAAGTTATCTCTCCTCTTCGTGTTTCAGTATCTTAGGAAAATGACTATTTCCTCCAACCCTTGGAATGCTGGGTTACGAATTTTAGGGTTCAGAACTCTTCTGATGAAAGTTTTAGAGTCACCTTTTCATTTTGAAAATGACGTCTCCTGAGTTGGCAGCGGGTTGATGATGTGAGGGCTTGGGTCCTGGGTGTGTGGGGTTTATTATACTATCGTATCTTTATGTATGTTTAAAATTCTCCATGATGAAAAGCTGACAGCCACCTAATGAGCCTTTCAGAGACCAAGCACGCAAACTTCTCATTAACTCTTTCCGAGAACTGATTTCAGAACAGAAAAGGACTCGTCCAGGGTCTTCAGAGTGTTTGTGAACCTCCTACATGGAGCTATTTGTTCCCTGGACTTCATTAAGCCTCTCTTTATCTTCTATTTCTGGCTCAGCACGTTGAAAAAATGTTCTATCTTATCCACTTGCAGGGTAGACTCAGGGCAGGATGTTACTGTAAGTTACAAATATGGACAGACTCTGGGCCCATTCATCAGAGATTACAGATGAGCACAGCCAGGGTGCGGAAGTGACAGTAATTTCATTTTCGATGTTTCTTTCTCCAGATTGTAGATGCCTTTTTCATTGGCCGCTATGTCCTGCTGGCTTTCCTCACTCTTGTCTTCCTTGGGAGCCTTTTCTTGGTTCTAATCCATCACATCGTGGAGCCAATCTATGCCAAACCACTGCGGTCCCACTGAGCCATCTTCAGGAAAACCAAGACCCTGTTCTTTCCCTCGCTTTGATGTCATTGATGAGCAGAAAGGTATTGTTTGGAGTCTTGTTTTGACAGCCTTCCTGCCTAAAGATCGGAGGATCATCTCTTCATCACTAAGACAAATCCCTTGAGTCCTGGCTTCCAGAAACAGGGTTGCAAAATTGCCCCTGGGGAGAGATTCTTACCAGCTTAAGAGGGATATTGCCCTCTTCTTAGCACCTGTACCTCAGATTTTCCATCTCTTTTGAAAAGGAAATAGCAACAGGGATCTGCTTAGAGTAGGTTTTCAATGAAGACTTCAGTAAGTGAATTTTGGGAAAAGGGGCACTTTGGCTTCTGCTGTCAAATAGATGGAAGAACTTGGTCCATTTTGATACTATGAAAAATTGTTAGTTACGAAGTCAAGATCATTTGGGAAAGAAAGACAATCAAAGTTCAAAAGGTTATTTCAGTGTAATGACCTGGAGACGTATCCAGGCCCCGGTTATGGAGCACCCCGCATATCACGACACCGGGCTCCACAGAGGCCACGGTGTCACTTCCCGCTGCTCCGAGAAAGCAAGCAACAGCAGCTAAAGGACTGGCTTTCACCTCGAACTCCTGGCCACAGCCTTCTAAATCTAGCATTGCTATATTTCAGGTTTACTCGGGGATTAGAGACGGGGTATGGAAATGCCAGTTGTGTGTCCTGCTGCTCTGTCTCTCTGGATTCTTTTGCTTCCAGGATTCGGCGGCCTTTGTTGCCTTATTTGGTTACCGTAAGAGTCCATTTGGGGTTACTGTCATCTCTTTCATCTTCGTAGCTCTTTCTCCGAAGCTGGTGAGGAATGTATATGCCCAGGCTTAGGTATAACTTTATACCTAAGCCCCCAGACCAAGTGAAATTTGTTAGTAGCTAGAGGGGCTCTAGGCTGGTTCCATTTTGGAAGAGTCTCATCCTGGCTCCCTGGAGCTATTTGAAGAAGGACTTTCTGGCTTAAAATTAAGAACCAGAAAACAAGTTGGAAAAAGAACTTTGATTGAGTGCATGCTATAATGCCAGCAGTACACTAATCTTTTTTTTTTTTTTTTTTTTTA